AGCAGAGACAGGTTTCTCACCGTCGCTGTGTGGCTTGTGGTCCACCTCGTTGATGACGAGAGAGGTTCTAACATCACCCGATGATACCGGTACTTCCACGACTGGCGTGGAAAGAATAGGAGCAGCATCTTCGCTGATCTCCACGACCATTTCGTCTTCAGCGTTGAGCGTCTGCGGTGTCTTCGACTCTGTAGGACCCGCAGCACCGGGCAGTGCCGTATCTCCACCGGTCGATAGAGAGGCCTCAGCTCCTTCATCCGGAGTGGGAAGAGCAGCATTAGACTCCTTGGGTTCCCCCTCGGTCCTACCGAAGAAGCCCCAGAAGCCGCCACTACCACGACGAGTGTGTTGTGGGCTTGTCGAGTTCTTCTCTATAGCAGCGGTGCTAGACGCCTGATTCGTAGAGACAGCCTCAATGCTCGTGGCTGGAATTGGAGCCTTGTCCTCTTCATCCAAAGCGTCAGTACTCTCCACCGCAGCTCCTTGGTTCGAAGTTGACGCGTTCTGGTTCGAAGAGTTGACAGTACGCGAGTCCACTTGACGCTTTCCACTGCCCGGAACCACGATTCGCTCCGACACAGTGTAGCCTCCATGACTAGAGCCACCGACGGACTCGTCACTGCTTTCTCCACTCTGGACAAACTCGTCAAATTCCAGACCGTCCTCTTCTTCTGCACCCTTACGAACAACCATGCGTCGGACCACACGCTGTGGCGTTACCACCCGACGAGTGATGATACGCTGACCCGGAGTGACAGTCAAGCCTCCTGCTTCAGCGTCTACATACTGCGCGTCTTCCTCTGATTCAGAAGAGTTGGAGCCGCCCTTCACGACTGTACGTCGAACAGGTGAAGCTACCACACGACGCGTTACTCGTCGACTGGTACCACTAGAAGGCTCACTAGTGACACTGCTAACGCTACCTGTGAAGCTCCCAACGCTCACTAAAGTGTTCTCTTCGATGACGTTCCCTTCTGCGTCCACTTCCTGTTCGACAGGCACTTGCGTACCGTCCTCACGCACCACCATGCGTCGAACCACGCGACGTGAGACCGTCGTCCGGCTTGAAGACGGGGGACTCGACTGTGTGCTTGAACTGGAGCCTGGTGCTTCGCTTCCGTCGACGACGTTCCCATCTGCGTCCAAATACTGCGCTACTTCATGCACTTGGCCGTCTGCACCCGTTTTACGGACTATAACCCGACGAGTAGTCTTGCCCGGGGTCACAATTCTCCGTGTAACCACAGTACTAGACGAGCTGGAAGGTGCTTCTCCGCCTTCCGTTCGTACGACGTTTCCATCGACGTCAAGGTACTGTACTTCTTCGTGGACTTTTCCGTCCGCACCCGTTCGACGGACCACCACTCGTCGTACAGTTTGTGTTGGCGTGGACACACGCGTGACCGTCGTACGTCCAGAGTTTGTCTCGTTGAAAAAGGCGCCCGTCTGCTGAACAACTTGTCCGTCTGCGTCCACATACTGTACTTGCTCATGGACCTTGCCATCAGCTCCAGTCTTACGCAGTACAACGCGACGCATCGTCTTGCGTGGTGACGCCACAACCCGGCGTGTGATTTTCGAGGATCTCGGCGACAACGGTACCATCGTCTTGGTCGAGGATTCTCCTCCGACCTCAATGGATGGCACGGTCTTGACCACGACGTTGGTCAAAATATCACTAGGCAAGTCATCCGATGACGTCTCCACCCAACGTCGTGCAAGGGACTCACGGTTCGGAGACGATAGTCTCTTGGTCGGCTGCTTGGACCCCGTACGGGTGACGTACTGCGTCTCACCAGCCTCCGTCTTCACGTAGAGCCTCTTGTGTTCGGACGCAGGAGTCCCCGCATCCGAGAACCCGTCGTAAGATGCCCCTTCCTCGAAGGACGACGCTGAGGTGGCTGATCCCGGGGTCATGAGCTGCTTCTGAAGGAATTGACGCGTCCCGAGACCTCCAAAACCCGCTGGAGAGGACGTATCATTGACGCGTAGGTGTGGATTGCGCTTAAGCAGCACACTGCGAGCCGATTGTGCGTTGGTACCGTCGCCGGTGAGTTGAGAAGAGTCCGCCATCGTTTACTAGTGACTACAAGCTCGTCT